GGGAAATGAGATCCTTCTGCTTCTGGTTTTAATGAGAAAGGCCCCAGTGGAAATTTTAAATCTGGATCTGCATCAAATCCTCAAAGTTCAGGGAGTTTAGAACGAGGAGTTCGGTCCAGTCCATCAGGCATCAGAGCTATCTGCAAAATTCACATCCTAACATTTTTTTCCAGCAATGAATTCTGCCAAAGATGTGTGCTTGGATGTGAGGTATTTTTCTTCTTTTTCATCCCTTTTGCTAATTTAATTCCCAGACCCAAATCAAATTTTTCCATCTCAGACTGCCACAAGCTGGGATGCATTGTTTGCACTTATGAAGCTGTTCCGGCTCTGTTATGCCCTGTGTTGCACGTTGAGATGTCGGAGGTGTTTACCTGCCTGCAATAGCAACGACCGAGTGAAGGGGAGGCCTGAAGGTTAGGCACTGGGTTGGTTTATTGCCAAACGGAGTCAAAGCTTTCTGATGTGATAGTGAGCAAATCATTACATTGCTCCTGCACTTCGTTTCCTCATTATTAAAAGAGGATAAAACCCAACAAATTACTGGGATATGCACAGATATGCCATTGACGAGGGACCTGAGCAACCGGGCAGATTTTCTGAGGAGCCTTGAAGCAGCGAGGCACAGAAGCCACATGCTGGGCTCTCCCTTATTTTTATTCTTTCTTGTTTTCTTGGTTGTAGAATAAAGCTAATCAGAGTGATGCTCTCCAGCAGGCTTTTGTGTATGGCGTTACAGTAAAATCCTAAATTCCCTTTCCTGCTCATGCATATAAAGCAGGAAGAACTAGGATGGCTGCAGACTATTTCTATTTTCAGATGATTTAGCCAAGGAGAAAATAACTGGATGGCTGGAAGAAGGAGCAGTTGATAGGAAATAACCTTGGAGCACAGCTGTCTGACATGACGGCGTGCGAGGTGCCCAGCTTCCTGAGACGACCGTGCTCCGTGAAATGCCATCAGGGAACGTAACTTCCAGAGGAGATGACAAAGGACAATAAAGACAACCAGAGCACGCAGAATGCAATGCAAGAGAGACTGCAGAGTGGGCTGGGCGCTCCCTTCTGCTCCTCTGCTCCTGATCAAGAAATGGTTTCAGCATCGACATACGTAAAGTTCCTCCCGTTCAGTTTAGGACTCCTACTAGGTGCTGAGGCAATGAGTCGAGTATTTGGCTGGTGTAAATCAGTGCAGCTCAACTGACTTGGTTCATTTGAGGATGTTTGTACCTGTAGGTACCTGTAGGTACCTTCTTCCCCCACTAAAGGCAAAGACGTTGCCTGGGACTTGCCCCTCGCACCTGGAGCAAGTCGGACACTCCCCGACTGCAAGGCAAGAGCGCGGGGAGCTTCTCCTCCACGCTGATGCTGTCGGACCGCAGCAGAGAGTGACACCTGAGCAAGGACTCACGCCTCCTTGTGCATCGCTTCATAGTATCTGGTCTGCAGCCTGCAAGTGAAACTGCAGCTCCCAACACCTGGCATCTGTGCCTGACTCTGGCTGCCTGCTACCTTTGGGCACACCGCTTCTCCCGTCTCTGCCTCAGCTTCCCCGACTGTATGACGCTTCATGAAGCGCTTTGAATTTCACTGATTAAAAAGCATTAAATGAGACCGTCTCGTCCTTCTGGCTTGATGTACATCATACAGCCACTGTGGCTGGGAAGAAACATCCCTCTGTTTCCCCCATTTCAAAGTGACACCCAGTTCCCAGGATAATCTCCCCCCTTGTCCGTGACGACACTGGGGGAAAAAAACCCCAAAGACGTTCACGCCGTGGAGGCCGGGGCTGACACGTGGACATCGTGTTGCTGTTTGTGTTCATTTGTCTCTCTTTAACAGCTTACCGCAGATCAAATCCCTTTATTAAGTGCAATAAAAAAGAAGGTGTGCTGGACCCCATGGTGCCCATGCGCCCGGGGAGCGCTGGGGTGTGGGTGCCGGCACTGCCAGGCCGGGGGGGGCCATGCTGCGCAGGGAGCCCATTCCTGGGTGAGGGTGCAGGTGAGGGTGAGGATAAAGGTGAGGGCATGTTTGAAGGCTTTGGGCGAGGAGAACAGTTTTGGTGAGGTTGCATCCCCCTCTGCTGGAAAAGCCAAGCAAAGACAGACGAGCACCCACCGGTCAGGGAGAAAACTGGGGTGAGAAAAAGGGGAAATACATGTGCAAAGAAAGCAAGTGAGCCCGGGTCCCCCGGGGTCCGCAGGGGACAGTCGGCGGGGGCCCTCGCCGGCAGCCAGCCTAATCGTTAGCTGGGGGTTCGTCCGCTGCCGGCCGCGATGAGAGGGCTCTTGCTGGGGACGATCAGGCCCTCTGTGGAAATGGGGACCGCGTCCCATTCGTGCCGGGCGTAATCCCACTCCCGGTCACGGGAACGGGCAAGAGGGGCAGGGGCAGCGATGCTGGCTGCCGGCAAATACACGCAGCCGCTGGTCAGCAAGAGGGGAGATGGACGGAGAGGAGCTGGGCACTGTGTGTCCCCGTAGGATTGACCTGCTCAGGGGTCTGGGACCCCTGTCACCGCGCTGGGTGACACCGTGGGTCAGGCAGGTCCCGACTACTTGGTGGGCTCTGACAGCAGCCAGAAAATCGGGAGCATAACTAAGCAGAATTGCACGGACAAGGTCATTGCTTTGATGCTGGATTCAAAGCCGCTTCGTAGCCCAGGTGGTGCCGAGGGGCCATGGCTGATGGGTACTGAGGTGCAAAACACCTTGGTGGGACTTAAATATGTAAGGAAACCTGAACCATAGGCACCTAAATTTGTCAGCAAGGGTGCTGCAGAGCTGCCTACGGTTTCTTGCCAAGCAGCCGGTCGGGAGCCCTACTTCAAACCGGAGGCTGGAGAAAATGCCTCCCCTGGCCCATCCCGGTGGATCACCTCTTGTCCTCCATGCAGC